CAAATAAGTCTACCACACATAAAAATTTAAGAACCGTATTTTATCATTAATTAAGTTTACCGTGTCTTCTAACAAATCTACCATTTCAACAATAAATCTATCAATACGAAGATAAATCTACCAACACACTATTAAATCTACCAAAGCATATATTATTAATACCGTCATTAAAAATAAATCTACCGTTATTGAGACTCAAACCATCCAACGATAAGTCTATTATCATTACACAAAAGTCTACCTCGGACGAAAATAAACCTACCATCAAATAGGATAAATCTACCAATCCGGTATACTGTCTACCAAAAAGTCAACCAAAGTCAACCTTGCCGAAAAAAGTCTACCAGATCGTATCAAATCTACCCTCATTATAAACAAGTCTACTAGAAATTTAATAAGTCTACTGACCACTAACATCTCTACCTAACGTAAGAATAAATCTATCGAAATAAGTCTACCGACTTCAAAACAAATCTATCGACTTCAAAACAAATTAACGTTTTCGAATAAATCTACTGACCCAAAACAAATCTACGGTTTCAAATATAAGTCTACCAAAAAGTTATAAGTCTACCGTGAAATATTGGTAGACTTGTATATTTGAGCGCGTTGGTTTTTTCGTAAATAAATCAAACTTTTGCCGACGTGGATTATAAATAGTAATGGCAGTTTTGTAATTACGCATTTTTTTAACAAAGGTCAAAAGGTAGAATAGGTACCGTAGGTTATTCTAATAATTAAAGTTTTTGAAAGCTGTTTAAATAATTTCACGATTTTTGAAGGCTATTATAGTTATCCTCCCTAATTATTAACATAAAAAAAAATTATACAGAACATGGTAGACTTTATTAATAATGACGGTAGATTTATATAAAAGATCGAGAAACACGAAGTCGATAGACTTGTCGAAATTTGGTAGATTTATTTACAAATAGGTATATATATCTAATATTGATAGATTTATTCAAAATTAGTCGACTTATTATCAACTGATCTGTATTAATGATGGTAGACCTGTTTCTTGGGGACATTAAATGCAAATAAAAAATGACGATTGAGCCCATCAATTAACTTTAGGTTAGCCATAAACACTAGACATCTGTCGACCTTGATTTAGGGTTACCGCCAACCCAGTTTTTTTGCATCCCAGAACTTCTATCTTTTTATCTTGATTTTATCCCAATTTTATCTTTCTCATCATCTCTTCATCATCTGTCGCAATGGATCAAGTTGTTCTGCCTCTTTCCATTCGTTACCCACCCGGACGTCCCAAAAAATCTCGAATGAAAAGTGCACTGGAAGTGGCAATGCAGAAGAAACGTCCAAGAAAATAACACAAGTGTTCTAAATGCGGTGTAGGTGGCCATAATCGTGCTACATACCCAATGTGAACTTAGAGGTTTGTTATTGTATGTTATATATTGTGTGTAATAAGTGCTAAGTGTTGCTTTCTTCTTTCTTGAACAGAACAATCGCTTGTAATTGGCATTTGTTTGTAGTTCAAATCTAGCAAGCTCCAAAGTAGAACAACATATTTGCCATTCATCCCATAAACAAAAACTTTCTGTGGGAGTCCTCAACTACATGGCTACATAGCATGTTCCAATCTACCAAACTTTCAAAGGACCAACTTCAAACAAACAAAAAATGGTCCTTTGAAAATATAGTCAACAAATCTACCGCAATTAACTTAACAAGTCTACCGATAAAAACTAAACAAATCTACCGAGATTACAAAAGAAATAACTCTGATTGATCACTTCAAAGAAGCTGTCTGAAGTGGAACTCAGTCATCGTACTATCCAATTATGATCTATTCATTACATCATTGAACACCGCATCACCAACTACTTCTTTCATGATGTCGAAATCGGTGAGGTGGCATCTGTAATTGAAGGTATGGTTCTGCAAAGGAGACTTTCCTGGCGGATACATTCTTGGAGGATAATCCTTTGACTCGCTAGATGTGGTCATCTCTGTTAACATGAAACACAAAAAAACACATCAACAACTCTACCACTCTACTAAAAATAACTTTACCAAAGACATAAAGACATTATACAAGTCTACCAAAATTAAAATAACTCTAAAAAAAAGTATACAAGTCTACCAAAATTAAAACAACTCTATCACATTCATGACAAACATACAACAATTATATCAAAAACAAAAACAAGTCTACCAAAACCAAAAAACAACTCTACCAAAAAAAAGGTCTACTCTTACATTTACAAATCAACCACCTAATCACAGTAAGTCTACAGGAATCTACCAAAATTCCTAAACCGACAACAAAAACAACAAGAAAACTACCGTAAATTCGACGCCTTTCGCCAGAAATTCAGTCCTTGCACCGAAAAATAACTTCTTTCACCGGAAATTGTCTCCTACTAGTGGAAAAGGGAAATATTAAAACTAGGGTTTAGCAAAAATAAAAATTTTAGTCGGCGGTTGTTTTTCTCTCTGAAAGAACTCGATGAAGAAAACGAAAAGAAGAAGACGAAAAGAAGAAGTCGAAAATAAGAAGATAAAAATAAGAAGACAAAAAGAAAAACACAAAACGAAGAAGACAAAACGGAGAAGATGACACGAAGAAGACAAACATATAAGGAAGAAATGGAGAGTCCCTTACCTACTTCTTTCCGGAATCTATGGTCCTAAGAATTGAACAGTTTTTAAATCTCGCCGGAGAAGACGACCGGCTTCGAAATCGCAACCACAATCGCCTTTGGAAATGAGAGGAGTTTTTCTAAGAGACACAATTAAAGTTTCTAACCATTTTTTTTTATATATTTCTAATTTCGTTTATTTCTTTTTTTAATTTTGAGTTCATTTATATCGAAATTCCTAAATTTTTATTATACTGGCAGTTTTGTTATAAAACGAAAAGAAGAATTTGAAACAGGGCAACTTTAGTCAATTTATTAAGGTTAGTTTAGTTTTTCAAATTTGAGACAGAATTATTCTAGTAAAAGGGCAATTTTTAAAGGTTATTATAGTAATTATCTTTTAATATTATTAGACCATGAACATTGCTGAGACTTATTAAAGTCTCTTAATTACTTTTTTAATATTAAAATCTATAGCTGTCTTCAGAAACCGTCTCTTATGGTTTCAATTTAGAAGACGTCTCTTGCATTTTCAGAGACTCAACTTATTAAAAAAATGTTTTTTATTAACAAGAGACGCAGTTAAATACTGCGATGTTCATGCTCTTATGTTCTGTGAGTGGAGAAAGGGGAAAACGGCCAATTAATACATCAACTTTTCAACTGGTACCGATTAGTACCTGAACAATTCATGTGTGCTAATTAATACCAAAACTTTTGAAAATAGGAATATTAATACCCCAACTTTTATTATTTTGGCCGAAACCTACTTTGATCCGAATTCTGTTAGTCAATGTCGTTAAAATATTAATGGTAATGACTCAGATGCCATGTGTCATTCTCGTTGGAACAAAACTGCAAAACGGCGTTATTTTGTGAAAAAATATTTAATCATGATATGCACGCTATGTGATTCGAACCAGGGCTGATGGGAACTATGTAACCACTGCGCTATATCAGCTTTTCTAAACATATTCAACCACAAAAATATAAAACGTTATGATTAGCTGCTAAGATTTCAATCCAGTCTCTTTCTTTTCTCCACACAATCCAACCCAACCCGAGTCTCCTCTTTCTCCACTTCATTCGTCTTCTCCGATCTCCCTGACATATCCACCAGCCCTGGCTTCGGCATCTGTTTCGTCCTCTCCAATTCCACCAACGTCCCCGTTCCTTTCCTCTCCGTCGAATTCGACACCGATCAGAACTCTGAAGTCAACGACATCAACGGAAACCACATAGGGATCGACTTTAACAACATCTGTGATCTGGTTATCGCGAATTATGTCGATTGATATGTACGTTGGCTTTTCCGCCTATAAAACAACTTGGGTTTAAGTTCGAAATTAAGTTTTATTTGTTTAAGTGATTATTCAACTACAAAGAAATGTAATTGGAGCAGTGGTTACATAGTGCCCATCAGTCTTCTTTGAATCCAGTTTCAAACCCCACGGCGTGTATATCATGATAAAATTTTTTTCTTCACAAAACGACATCGTTTTGCAGTTTCGTTCCAGCGAGGATGACATATGGCATCTGAGTCATCACCGTTAATATTTTAACGATATTGACTAACAAAATTCAGGTCAAAGTTGGTTTCAGCCAAAATAATAAAAGTTGGGGTATGAAATTCCTATTTTCAAAGTTTGGGTATTAATAAGCACACTTAAATTGTTCAGGTACTATTCGGTACCAGTTGAAAGAGTTGAGGTACTAATTGGTCGTTTTCCTATAGAGAAAGTAAAATGTATACTTGTATATATTGTATATAATATATATAGAATATAGTAACCATTTTCTTTATATGGTTATTTATTTAGTTTTAATAAATACTAAACAACTAATTATTTATAATATTTCATGAAAATATAATTATAATATAGTATATATATTTTGACAATATAATAACAAAATAATTATAGTTCTTTATAAAAAATTTTATAAATCTTTATAAAAAAATTTATAAACTTTTAGAAGTCATTTTATAAATCCTATAAACCTTTATAAATAATTTTAATAATATCAAAGTTATAAGTAATAATAATATAATATGAAAATTATAAATAATAATAATATAAAAACAAAAATTTAGTATATTAATTGATAAATAATATAATATTAATATTATAATAAAGATAACAATAAATTTTTTTTTTTAGAGTTTTGTGAATAGTTAGGAGTTGTACTATTCACAAAACTCTAAAAAAAAATGTGGTTACATTTGGAGTCCCGTTGAAGATCGTAGAACTCCATATTTGATGTTATAGAGTCTGATTGGAGAAGCTCTTAGAACTTCGAACTACAGAGGAAAAAATGATAAAACAAATTAACAAATTAGAAAATTAGAGAATTAGAAGAAAAAAAAACAATTCAGTATTGAATTTCACATGATGTTCTTTGGTTTTTGCTCCTATCTAGATGAGAGTGGAATCGAAGCTTTACGATTAAAACATGTGAAACAAAAAAAATAAAAAACAAAACCTTTCTCTACCTGAGGAATCTGATTAATTCGCCTCTCTCACTTTTAGATTTTTGTTTAATTTTGCTTTCATCTTGGGGGGGGGGGGGAATCGATGGGAAACACAAACACTGTAGAGTAATAGCTCTTACAAAAAAAAACGAATTTCTTTATTGTTCTTCAGATTTTTCTATGAGTTTGTGATCTTACACTTATCTCATTCTCGTTTGGTTATCAAGTTGCTTCCTTTTTCACGGTCAAATCTAAGAAATTTCCTTCGTGAATTTGATGGGCCTATAGGTTTCTTTTTGCCAATAAAATCACAATTTCTCTGCTTCGTGTTCTACTTTTACGAGTCTCGTTGATTTCTCCCTTTCTCTTCCTCTACGAATTAGAAATTAGGGTTTTATTTTATACTCCGATTATTCGTGCCTTCAGGACGAACTTATTCGTTGTATTTCTTTAGGGTTTCGTACCTTGCTGAGCTTCAATTCGATTTTCAGAGGGATATAAACTTTGGTAATGCTTTGAATGATGTTTCATGGTCAAGGGTTTTCGAGAAACCGTTGTAATGTTGTGGCAGTTGTTTGTGGAGAGCTTAGCGATAACCAGAAAGCTGAAGCTCATCAACCCAACTACCCTATTCCAGATCTCTCTTCTTCAGGGCGACTCAAGGTAAAAGATAATATCTATGTCTTGAATCTCTTTGATACTCCTAAATGATTTGCTAGATTGTTGGTGGAAATTTGGAACCTTTAAGTAAGTTTTTCAATGTTTATAGAGCTAAGTTGGTTCTGGGTATGAATGTTGAGAATTGTAGCTTGTAGCTTGAATGCTTCAGAAACTGGTAGACTTCAAGGGAAATCTTAGTTCTAGCTAATATCGCGAGTGTATGCTTTGTCATGTTGTAGTTTCAGGTTTTGAATAATCCTACCACCGAGGAGTTCCAGGTTGCAATTAACTCCTCAGCACCGGATATTGTGTACTTGCAAGGGGAGCAGAGTGGAGATAGTGATGAAGTCGGTCCCTTAGTGTTGGGATATGCTGATTTTTCTACTCCTGATGCATTGGTTACTCTGTTTGGCTCAACATTACCGACAACGGTGGGTGCATTTGTCGTTTAACATTGCTCATTTTTAGATAAAGAGTTCGTTTTTACCAGCTAATGCCGCACAGATCTTTTTCTTTCTAAGGCTCCATAGAGTTTCCTCTACTTGAATGTTTAAACACTTTTTGTAACAAAAACCTAATAATCTGTACTAGTTAAGTTTCTCTTATTATGGTCCTTTAATGATAGATCAATAGGCTTTGATTTCATATTGCTGTCTCAGGTTTATCTTGAGCTACCGAATGGTGAAGAATTAGCTCAAGCACTTTACTCTAAGGTACACCATTCTTGATAAGCATCTAGCTCTTTTTTGCTTTCCTGGCTAATACTTATTCTTCTTATTACATCTTGTTGCTATCTGTTTCACCTATGGTTATGTTGCAACTCTTGGAAAGGAATATATAAAATGTAAAGGACATTTTGAATGACAGTTTTCCTTTATGGTCACCTAATTGCTAGAGTATCGTACATTATGTTCGAGGTATAAAGATGTGAGTTATTCCGAGGAAAGTTTTTTATTTGATTATTTTTCACCTGTCCGTCTTATCAGTTTTGTCGATTGGTGCTTCTGTTTGTTTTTCGCAGGGTGTTCAATATGTTATTTATTGGAAAAATGTGTTCTCGAAATACGTAGCCTGCCATTTCCGCCATGCTCTGTTTTCGATCATTCAAAGGTAATTGTTTACTCGAGCATCTGAAATTGAGACGAGCCTTAATTTGAGTCTAAAAATTATATACATTTTTTCCCTAGTCTACAAGTATAGTCAATGATATGTTTTTTGGAAATGCAGTTCTTGCAGCGACACATGGGATACGTTCCAGGCTGCAGAAGCATCTTTCCGACTCTATTGTACGAGTAACAATGCCGTCCCTCCTTCTGACAGCAACCGTAAAATGAGTTATGAGATGGGACCCTGCTTGCTTGGAGACCCTCCAAAGATTGATGTGGTTTCGCCAGGAGCTGATGACCTAGAAGAGGAAAATTCATTAGAGAGCCTCCCATCCATAAAGATATATGATGAAGATGTAACCGTGAGGTTTCTTTTGTGTGGACCACCATGCACACTGGTGGGTTTTGTTGACCTTCTCGCACATTTTATGTTGCTTGCTTGCTTGACCAGATATTAGTAATTCTTTATGCTATCATTAGTCTCAAAGCATTTTTTGCTATTTTAGGATACTTGTTTACTGGGATCTTTGGTGGATGGACTCAATGCTCTCTTGAGAATAGAAGTGAGTGTAACTCGTTGTTTTAATGTTCCCATTCTTCTTCATTAGTGGCCATACTAAAATGTGTGCATGGAAAGATAAATTTAATATTATATGCATTAATCCTTTCAAATTATAACTTACTATTTCGTTGTTCCAGATGCGAGGAAGTAAGCTACACAACCGTTCTAGGTATGTGTTTTATATGGCCAAATAACCCTTCTACGAATTTGTGCCTATGGACTTAGTTTTAAGACTTATTTTGTTACTTTTCATGTTCTTGCTCATCGGAAATAAAACTGTAGTGCTCCAGCACCTCCTCTTCAAGCAGGAACATTTACTCGTGGTGTAGTGACCATGCGTTGTGATATCTCAACATGTTCTTCTGCTCACATATCAATGCTGGTGTCTGGAAATGCGCAGACCTGTTTCAGTGATCAGGCAAGTGATTATATCACTTAAAAACTGGGCTCTTCTCTTCATACATGTGCAATGGGATTTATTATTTTCTCCTTTGTTAATCTTAGCTTTTGGAAACTCACATAAAACATGAGGTGGTTGAGAAGATCCAACTAGTCCATTCAGTGGTGAAGTCAGAAGAAACAAAGCGATTTTTCTCTGAGCCTCGGAGATCTGCCTCCGTAGCTTGTGGGGCAAGTGTGTGTGAAGTTTCAATGCAAGTCCCAACATGGGCTCTGCAGGTTAATAATCTCTTTCTTAGCTCAACTTTTTTTTGTAGGTAGTAATCTCTTGTCCAATTTATCGCATGCACCTCATTGCCAACAATTTATTCAGTTAGAGTAGACACACGAGTTTCAGATAAAAAAGTTTGTCATGACACAAATGAAGACTTTTTCTTTCTGAACTTTTGACTCAAGCTTTGGGATGTCCCAGGACCATTTTCCGTGCTTTATTGCTTTCACTATCTATATATGATGCTTTTACATGTAAAGTGATAGCATCCAGATAGCTATGTGATACACATTCACTGCGGCTTCTTAGGAATATTTGCGTGTAATGAGTTTTCTCTTGGTAACGGTTAGCTAAGAAAATGTTAGTTTTGCTTTTCGGCAGGTTTTAAGACAGCTGGCGCCGGATTTGTCATACCGGAGTTTGGTTGTCCTTGGAGTAGCCAGCATTCAGGGGTTATCTGTTGCTTCCTTTGAAAAAGATGATGCAGAACGTTTACTTTTCTTCTGCGGACAACAGATCAATGATACTTCTAACCATGATGCTCTTCTTTCCAAAATCCCTCACTGGTTCACGCCTCCCTTGCCAACCAGAAAAAGATCCGAGCCGTGCAGAGAAAGTAAGGTACTGTATAGAATGCCGCAGGTTTGAAACTACTCTACTCGTTGTTTACTAGCTAGATTCTTTGATTTCAAATATAATCTGGAGAAGCTTCGTTTTCTTCTTCGTATATATGTCGGAAAAAAGTTATCTTTTACTGATTGCATCCTTACATCCAGGAAATCGAAAACGGAGGACCTACATCAAGGAAAATCAACGTGGCTGCTTTGAGACCAATACCTCACACTCGTAGACATAAGATGATACCTTTCTCTGGTTACTCTGAAATTAGAAGATTTGATGGTGACCACACCAAAGGAAGCTTGCCTATGCCTCCAAAGTATGGTGCATCAGGTGGCACCCCAGTAACTCACCGTAAAGCTTTTTCTGGTTCGTATCAGAGGAAGCAAATCATCTCACTAAACCCTCTGCCTCTCAAGAAACACGACTGTGGAAGAGCGCATATTCAGATTTGCTCAGAGGTTAGTTTAACTTAAATCCCCCTTGGAACATTGATGTTTCTTTCTTTGGAACTCATATGAATTCTGTGTCTATGTAGGAGGAATTTCTGAGGGATGTGATGCAGTTTCTGATAATACGAGGACATAGCCGGCTTGTTCCTCCAGGGGGATTAGCTGAGTTTCCTGATGCTGTTCTCAACTCAAAACGGCTTGATCTGTTCAACTTGTACCGAGAGGTAGTTACTCAGTGATTTAATCTTTGATCAACCGAGCCAGCATTATAGATTATGTGAGCTAAAGAGAGATGCTGCAGGTTGTATCACGGGGAGGGTTCCACGTAGGGAATGGGATCAACTGGAAAGGACAAGTTTTCTCAAAGATGCGGAACCACACACTCACAAACAGAATGACTGTAAATGATTCGATTTCTAATCCTCTTTACTTGATTCAATCTTGGAAAAAATCATGAGCATGGTCTTTAATACTACATCTCTGGGGGTTATTATGGCAGGGAGTGGGCAATACGCTGAAAAGACACTATGAGACGTATCTACTCGAGTATGAGTATGCTCATGATGATGTAGATGGAGAGTGTTGCTTAATATGTCGCAGGTACACTAAGAACCCTCTTTCACTTTCTCTCGCATTCGCGTAACAAGGATTCATGTTAATAATGCATTGTTTCTTGCTTTGGTTGAAACAGTAGCACGGCGGGTGACTGGGTGAACTGTGGATCGTGTGGAGAGTGGGCTCATTTTGGATGTGACCGAAGGCCAGGCCTAGGCGCCTTTAAGGTAAGCAAACAAACACTCACGCACTCGTAAGTAGCATCTATGTCCTTGTTTGTACTGATTGATGATACACACATAATGATATGACAGGATTATGCGAAAACGGATGGGTTGGAATATGTGTGCCCAAACTGTAGCGTCTCTAATTACAGAAAGAAGTCTCAGAAGACCTCCAATGGCTTGCTTGTCCCTTAGTTTCACGTTTCTTATTTTATTTTTCCTTTTTTTCTTTAGAAACCAAATGATAGATTCCTACTCTAGACATTTCACGAGTATTTGCAATGTAAAAGTCTTTCTTGTTTCATTTCTCTCTATAATGAGTTAACCACAACGATATTAATTGATAGACTTTTCCATATTCTATCTATAACAAATGAATAGAAGAACATATTCATCCAAATAAGAACCACAAGTGATACGATTTGAAAAGGTAAACAAACCTGGATAAGACTAACAAATGCTAAAACCTTGGTGCAGCAAAGGTATGATATGTACATGTACACTTCGTTGTAATGAAACGAATCTGAGAAAATGTTTTTTTTTTTTTTCTTGAACATAGAGAAAATGTTTATATACAAAAGAGTAGCTTGTAATGTGAATGGAGATTACGGGCGTAAACCTGCGTAGAGGTCTTTGAGAGCAGTGTACAATGGTTCAGCCGCTTTAGGTTGATCCACCATCCCAAGTAGAATATCCGATGTCGAAAGGTATGGATCGCCATAGAACCTTACGTTCATATCCCGTCTTGTCGCCACAACATTTCCTTCTAGAGACACTCCCACAAATGCCCCTGTTCACACAAAACATCTCTCAGGTTCTAGGTTTACAGGATAACATTTAAGATGAAATTATTCAATTTCCCATTTAATTTCGATCTACAAAACCTTTGCTACGGCTATAAGTATAGCAGACGCCAGAGCCTCTGTCACCAGCTCGAAGGTCAGCCTCCAACACTCTCCCTATAGGACCGGCTGCTGCGCTGCATCCGGCGCCTAGAGAAAAGTGCATTCTGCTGCAGAACGTCGTCACCGCTTTCAAATCATGCAGCACTATTATGAAGTCCATTAACTCACCTCCAATCTGACAAAGAGTACAAAAATCCTTAACATTCTTACCTCTTACGGGCATGTATCGAATGAAAAACATGATGTTTACCTGAGCACCCCATCCTAGACCAACTGAGAGTATCGCAGATGGTGCAGACCATGACCCGTCTGATCTCCGAGATATTACTAGACCAGTACCGAGTTTGTATGACAGCAAAGCCCCAGCTTTAGCAACCGTTAAGATTGCCAAACCTTTAGCTCGGCTAAGAACTGCATGTGGTATGGATTTCTCAGGGTCTAATCTTGCTACCTGTGTATTTCGATAACTGGTTAATCAAACATTTGATACTCAATTCTCTTACTCCAACATCTTAGTCACAAAATAGGATAAAAATCAAACCTGGCAATAACCTCTCAACGTATTAGATGCCTTGTATATCTCATCTTCCATGGAAAGACCAACAGGGAGGTTCAACCATCCTCGTGTGCATGTCCAATCCACGACATCATGCTTTGCTACTTGCACGGCATTACTAATGGAATTAATGAGGACACCTTGCAAAGGATCAAGCCTCTCGTAGCAAGAATCGCAAACTCTCTGAGGGTTCCTTTCCCGGAATCTACTCGGCATCAAGCATCTCCCTTTGGAACAGTTTCTACAAAATATCCCTCCGCAGAACCGACAATGATGTCTTCCGCATGTGATTGCGGTAAAAGGAGATGAACACTGCATGCAGGTAGTAGTTGAGCTGTCGGGCAGCCACTGAGGTGGTTCGGCTTCAAGCAAGTCCTTGTAGACACTGTAATTAATCCCGGTAGGTTCAAGAAGAGGCGGCGCGCTAGGTATGTAAACAGATGAGTGAAGGTAAGTATCTCCGTTCTTGCTAGAGCCAAGGAACGAGACATTCGAAGACGGGATATTCTGATCTAACGAAACGTTAAGGTCCTTGTTCCGCCCGGTAACAATGGCGATCAAGCCGGTTAAGACGTTTTTCAAGTTTACTTCAGGGGCTCCATTTCCTCGAACGGGCGTAGAGAGCTCGTCAGCTGAATCATATCCATCATCTACGTAATCTCCTGAGTCGATAGTCGGATACTCAGGCTCTTTTTTGGTGGGGATTGACTGAACAGACCATTTAGGTGAATCTCCATATTCATCACCATCATCATCATCATCATCATACTTGAATTTGGTCTTCTCTTTCTCCGATTTTAGATGGGGAGAATACGAAGAAGCTTTTCCATTGAGAGTAGCCATGCCTAACCGCTAAAATCGAAAATCTGCAAAAGATGCAAAATCGCTACTGTTGCAATAAACAGGTACAGAAAATCTCATAGACCATGAATAGATTCAAACTAACAAAAAGGAACTGATTCGGAACCAATTTCTACACAGAAGAAGCTAAAATCACGATTCGTAAACAAAAATTAACAACAGATTCATAGGAAACAATAATCAATCAAAAACAGTTTCAAAGAAACTCCACAAATCTTGAACCCGGATCAACAACATAGCTTTGATTTCAATTTAAGGTTTATCCGAATCGCTGAGGGAATATAAGAAAACGATTTCAAGAGCACGAGAATTTGCCAAAAATTTTAAAAAGTCAATACAATTATTTTGAGAATCTAAGGAAAAAACAAAAAAATAACCTGTGCTTTGATCGCGAAGAAGATATTCTGGTGAATAAAAATAGACCTATCGATGATCGGATTGAGGAAGATAACCAGAAAGAACACGGCGTCTCGGTTCTGAGGGTAATATTTTATTTCATTTAAATATTTAATAGACACGGAAGATACAGCAGTATATTAATTTCTGGTAAAGCAAGTCAGTATTTTAGGATAGTTCTGATAAGGCATACCAAAAAAAAACGGATAGTTCTGATAATGTTGGGCCCAAGAGGCCTTGGGTTTTTTTGTGGTTTAGGTTTAAAAAAACCCGAAAAGTCAATATTGTGGTTTTTAATGATATTATTAGGAATTAATCCGCCCAGAATAATATTTTTTAAATTATTTTTAAATTTTATTTTATTTTTTTGATAAAATTAAAATTGGTGGCAAAATTTTTTTAATAAAAAATATAAATAAATAAAAGTGATAGAAATTAGATAATAATACATATATAAATATCACACATATGTATATCATCGAATAGGATTTGAGCTAGTTTTGTTATGCGCTTTAGTTATTAGTAGTTTTTATATGTGAAAATGATAAGATGTTAATATATTTATACTTATATGTAGACAAACATAGATTAGAATCTAAATATATATATATATATATAAAATAATAATTTAATTGTTTATAAATATTTTATTAAAGATCAAACTATCATTTTTAGTTAATGAATTATATAATATGTGTTAATAATAATTATATATAGGATTGTCAAAGTAAACAAATTCGTTTACTTAATCTATTTTTCAGTTTACTAAAATATTTTTTCGACTAACCCGTAAAAATACAATTTAAATTTTGAAAATATATTTCAGTTTTTTTATAATAATAATTGAATTTATTTTCAAAAATGATACTAATTAATTATGAAAATACAAAAACAATAACTGAATTAATTTTAAATAGATTATATATATATATGGATTCATTATTATTTAAAAAATATAATATATTTTAATATTTTAATAAGTAAATAAACTAAATATACTTTTGATATATATCTATATATATTCAAAACAAATCTGTAAGCTCTATATTTAATTATTTTTTATGGAAAAATATTTGATTGAACTTTCTATATTTGTAAAATTTATTTATGAAATATCTTTTAAATAAATGTTTATTATGTAATATCTTATAAGTAAATATTTATTTATATAAAATATTCTATAATATTTTACAAATAAAAGTTCATTTATGTAAATGTCTACTTAAATAATAATATAGAGATTAATAAAGCGTTTTACAATTATTTTTTAATTAGTCCTTCTGAAAAAGCAGGACAAACATGGAAAATAGACCAAGGAAATTCAGATGTGATGGCCTTTTGGCTAAAGTATCTGCACATGTGTTGGCTGAACGGTTAGCGTATGAAAACTTGACCTCATAAAAGTTCCAACTATTTATAATCGTTAAATAATGCCAAAATTTGAGATTCTCTGTATTGTTGTTAGCAGTCTGATTGAGGTTAAGATTGTCTTTTTCAAACTCAATCATACGATAACCAAGACTCCAAATGAGCATTCAGTTTCTTTCAGGCAACCGTGACCTTGAAATTTACCCATTCCACCATCTAGGAAGATTCCATTGCTGTTGCTGAGAATCCAACTTAAACCAAAAGCTCAGCCCCTTCATGATGTATGCACCGTAGTTGCATTTGATAGAATCTAGGGAGGGAGGACGCTATGTTGCTTGACATCTAGGTGATAACACCGTATTTTGACCACTTTTATGGATCGTTTTGAAATACTTTTTTCTATGTTTTTAATTGCTTTTAAGTACTTTTATCACGTTTTTCTAGTATTTGTAGTTCAAAGACTCTTTTCAGGTAACTTAGGAAAAAGCTTAACAAAATGGATAGAAAACCAGATTTCAGCTCAGAGTCAAACCGTCAGAAGTTCACCCCTGATTGAAGGCCTTCTCACCGTCTGATCCAGCTCAAATTTGGAGACCTTAAAGATGGAAGTATCAGCTTTCCAGTGCACTTTACAGCTTGGCAATCCAACGGTTCAATCAAAAGATACGCGAAGAGCAAGATGTCCCGTAAACCAGCCGGCAAGCACTTCCACCCGCGGCCAACAAGCATTTTCCCGCGGTCAGGAGCATCCCGACCGCGGCAAACCATACATTCCCCACGGTCAGAGCACTCCCGACCGCGGCAAGCCAAATCCGAGCCCAAAAGCCCATTTTTGAAGCCCACAATGATTCCTTCATTTGGAGAAACCCTAAGTGACGTCCAGAGAGGTCTTGAGCACTATAAATACATGTCTTAGGAACCCTAATCGATCATCTATCTTTCTTATTGTTTTAGAATACTTTTAAGTTTTAGGTTTTAGGGAGAGAGAGATTTGTTCTCTTGAACCCTTGTTCTTTCTTTTTTCAATTTCGGTTTCTATTCTACTTCTTAATACTATGCTTTTGATTTCGTTCATTATGTCTGAGTAGTTTTATTGTTGGGATTAAGGGATTTTCGATGGGGATTTATATGTTCGATGAGGATTCCATGAGCTTTTGAGCCGAATCTTAGAACTTTTTCTTCTGAATTCGTTTTTACTGCATGAGAGTAGCGTCATGAACTACAATCTGATCCAGATGCTTGGTGACACGAAAGTGTTCATCAGGTATCAGATCTAGTTTGGGAGAGCAAAACAAACATAGGAGTGGAAACCTACCTATGGGCGATTTGTGAATTAGGACGAGTCTTAAACATAATGCATCTCTTCTCTTCCAGGGCCAGAGTGGAAACCTACTCGTCAGGGTTGAGAGAGATAGTTGTCTATGATCACGACAGTGGCGTATTCATACGTCCGTGACTCCAGTTCGAAAACTTTATGCTAAGATCTTATCAATTTTACTCTCTAGCAATGTTTTGAATCGTTCGTACCCCTGAGAAAACTTCCCTGAACCCCAATGCTTTCTTCTCCATTGATTTACACCGATTTTCTTTTAAGCTTTAGTTCAATATTGTCTTTCCTTTTTAGTTCATTTTCATTTAAGCATTAGAATATCCATTTTTATCATTTTTAGTTATTTTCGTTAAGTTTAGTTATTACGTCATTTAATTTCCGTATTCTCTTTTAATATTTTGTTTTTACATTTTAAACACACTACCAAACCCCTACAAAACCGTTTTTGTTCTAGACTTCCTTACTTTAACTTATTTCAAAGACTTTTTGCAGAAAAAGATCCTCCTTCCCTTTGGATTCGATCCCTAAGTACTACAATTGATCAGTTGTGCACTTGCGGCTATTGATTACAATTAGGGTAAAACTTGACACCCTCAACACAGCACACATCAAGTTTTTGGCGCCGTTGCCGGGGAAGGCACGCGTTTTCTTTTCTGCAAAACCCCGAGAAAGGTTAGTAAATCGACTCTAGAACCCCTTTTTCTGCAATTTTCCATTTTTCGGTTATTTTGTTTCCATTTCAGAAGATATGGATCCTATAAATCGAAATATACACAATGAGGAAGGTTTCTATAACACTCCTCAAGCCACCAGACGCAGAGAGAAGTATCTACGCGATCTCTACGAAAAAACTCAACCCGAAGACAACAGAACATCCCAGAAGGAACCTTGCGCACCTCAAATGGCCAACCCTGAACAACCTGCTCGTCATTTGCCTCACAAGAATGAAAACGTCAAACCCATTCACCGATTGGAGCTACTAGAATTGGCGGTCTCGCACTTACTCGACGTTCAAGCAAGATCCACAATTGACGAGAGAATTGACGACTTGTCAATACGCTTTAACAGAAAGCTTGAAGATCTTTCAGCTCAAGTCAAGACCGTCGAAAGCCAGCTAAACGAAGGTGCTGAAACCGTCCAGGAGAGGATGAAAGCAATCGAAGAACGAGTTGGAGCACACGAAGTTCGCATTCGCAAAGCCGGTTGGAGCATCCGCACGTTAGAGATCAAACTTGGTGAAGCAGAAGAGACTATTAACTACCACAACAACCAAACCTATTCCTATGTGGAAGAGATTTGGGATGGAGCACACAAGGTTCAAGAGAAAGCAGAGGCAATAGACTCAACCGTGGACAAAGTAGTCTATACCCTCGATGAAATCGAAAAGAAGGTCGAAAAGCTTATGCAAGGACGTGAAACGAATGGTTCGACGCTTCTCATCGAAGATCTTAGCCTAAAAGAGAAGGAGACGGAGTTAGAAGGTGCAGAAATCAGTTCAGATGGCAAAGGAGCAGACGAAACTGAGGAAACAACTCGGAGCCTCATTCCCGCGGTCGGAACTCACGTGGTCGGCCAACAAGCTTCCAGCCGCGGTCGTGAGCCTCCTGACTGCGGCAAAGCCCTCTGTACCCGCGGTCGTGAAGCTTCTACCCGTGGCCAGCACTCCTTTAGATGCCTTTCAGCCCTTTTCCACTCCTACAGGTCAATGCTCATTTGATACATCTGCTGAGTTGGTCAAAACCCCTCTTCAGGAGCAAACGGTGTATGCTATCAACTCCAAAACATCTCAAGAAGAAAATGAGGTACTCCCTTGCAACATAGTTTTAGCATATGAGGATGAATATGAAGGACACTACCTCGAAGATGAAGACTATCGTCTGTTCATAGAAGGAGGGAATCCAGACAAAATGGTGGAATTAGGAGCACCAATCTCCAGAGAAAAGCTCATTGAATTCAACAAGTTTGTGAAATCGATCCCTCTTTACACAGGTTTCGATGATTTTTGGCATCTTGGTTGTTTGCAAGTTTTCTTTAGGTACAGCAAGGAGACAAAGGAGGATATCAGAACCTATTTTGGGAGGGCCACACGTCTGACTTTTTCCAGAACATCACCTGATGCTGCTGTTTATTCAATCCACCTCCAAAGACTGGAAGAGTGCAGCCACTACACCAACAAAATCAGCAAGGAGAAGCTCGACGAATTCAATGATGTGGTTCGAAATTTGCCTGAAGGAATCACGTTTGCCAAAGCTTGCAAGGACTTCATGATAGGCCACTACTTCTGTGAGAGCAAAGAATCAATCCCTGAGATAGAAGACTTGTTCAATCATGCAAGAAAAGGTAAACCTGTTCGAACACTTCATAAAATAGAAGGAGTAGGTCAGTTTCTTATCTCTTGTTCTATTAGAGGAGAAATGTT